GCATAGTATTGTGATATTTTCCGCGGCAATACTGTATCGATACACGGACGCCAAGTATCGATCTTTTAATTATACTATTTGGTAGAATAGTATCTCTCTCTCTCTCTCTCTCTCTCTCTCTCTCTCTCTCTCTCTCTCTCTCTCTCTCTCTCTCTCTCTCTCTCTCTCTCTCTCTCTCTCTCATGCTCTCTCTCTCTCTCTCTCTCTCTCTCTCTCTCTCTCTCTCTCTCACTGTTTATAGCACTTAAACATCAGAACATTTACTGATGATGTGGTAAGGTCCTTTATTCAGGTTTCTCTTGTTCGCCCTGTCAGATATTCACTCTTTTTAATTCTGTGCCATGTTCTTCGTTAACAACAAGCTTACATCTTAGAATTGATTCCTTCTCTGTTATTTGACATTAACCCCATATTAACTTCAAGACTATTAGAAGACCCATGTCTAACACAGTGTTTTGAGTCTCATAACCACAGCATTTTATTCGCAGTCAGTATGATACAAGGCTGATTATGTGCAATATCAGTTTGCTCAGGTTTTTTGAGCAAACTGAATTTACTAATCTACTACTACAAATTTACTTTGATTGTTTCTTTTAATTTTTGATTTAAGCTTTCCTTGAGGTGAGTGGTTTCTTTCTTGCATGTCTAACACTTGAGAACTGCCCTCTATTAAGCATGTGGCATGCATTATATTTACATCACTAATAAGGCTGCATGCGTGCAACTGTAAAGCTTAAACAATTGATTGTGAATTGTGAACTGAAGCTGTTCAGTTCATGGTAAGTATATACATTTGTCTGTACAACTTAGTTATTTAAATTACTTAAATATTTATTTATTTATTTATTTATTTATTGCGACAGGTAATACACTAAAGTAATTCCTCTCTTTTATATAACTTCATGATGATTTTGACAGACCAAACAATAACAAAATCAGAAATTAGACCAGATCTTAAAAGGGAAAATGCAAGTCAGAAAACCCATTAACGAATGCAAAATCAGGCTAATTAAGTTAAATTTTTTATTTCTAATTAGCAAAGCTTTGTGGAATTGTTTGTTTAGTTTTCTTAATTTGTTTGTTAGAGTGATGGAACAAAGATGGTGTTGAGCTGAATTCTGCATGTTAGAATTTCATGTACTGGTCTGAATTTCATTACACATTGGTGGTATCAAGCCTGTGCAGCTGCACCTATTTCCTCTAGCAGCAGCGGAAGGTAATGAAATAGTTTGGATGGAGAACTTAGGGTCATGGAGTAGAGCAGTCAGTTAATTTAAACAGCACCTAGACCATCTTATCGATGGAACTCAGTGGCCGTTTTTCACCCTCATGGTGAATAGCACCAATTTTGGCATTTAGCACTGCAATCATCTCCATCCTCCCTTCGATCCCATATCATCCTTCTCACTTTCCTCACTTCTGCCCTGCTTTACTCACTATTCATGTCTTCACCAGGTTTCCTCTTTCCTCAATACATTTCAATCTTCTCTTCTCTTTAATTCTCCGCCTCCTGGGTCCTCCATCTCTCTCTTTCTCACAGTCCTCCTTAATTGTAAGATCACTCTTGTGGTCTTAAAATGTGTTTAGTTTCTTTTGCATTATCGATTAGCATCAAAATGTGTTTTTGTTTGTGTTGGTTTGGTATTGATTTTCAGTCTCTAGTGTCTAGTCGCCAGAGGGAAGGTAGACCCAGGAACAGGGAAATCAGGATTATGATGCGGTAGATGCTGCTGGGACACTCTTTTTCTCTCTCTCTCTATCTATCATGCACATGCACCCCAAAGGTGTGGTCCTGAATAAACACATGAATGAATGGTTATAAGGATTGAGAAGCAGATTTATAGACTGGATGCATGAATGCAATGAAGAAAAACAAATTTAAAGGAACAGATCACCCAAAAATGAAAACTTTCTGAAGACGAACTCGCCCTCAGGCCATCGAAGATGTAGATGAGTTTTTTCTTTATTGGAACAGATTTGTGGAAATTGAGCATTACATCACTTGCTCACCAATGGATCCTCTGCAGTGAATGGGTGTCGTCAGAATGAGATTTCATACAGTTAATAAAAATTACTTCACAAATAATCCACGCGACTCTGGTCCATAAATTAACATCTTGTAAAACGAAAAGCTGCATGTTTATAAGAAACAAATCCAGCATTAAAGGGGTCATATGATGCGATTTCAAGTTTTCCTTTCTCTTTGGAGTGTTACAAGCTGATTGTGCATAGATAAGATCCCTGAAGTTGCAAAGACTAAAGTCTCAAAACCAAAGAGATATTCTTTATCAAAGTTAAGACTCTGCCACGCCCCCCTAAAACGGCTCGTTCTAACACGCCCCCACATATCTACCTCACTATGTGGCAATATTAGCATGAGAGAGAGAGAGAGAGAGAGAGAGAGATCACAGTGGAGTCAGCTGTCTTAACCGCGGCTTGTGTACTGCACACATACCAGCTTCATCACTGTGTCTGTCACACGACTCTGTTCCCCTTTCGGGCTCTGTCTACATTTATTTTGAAAGATGAAGCTCGCGATTATGGTAAGGGGCATTACATTTCCGACGAGTGCTTGCGGTGTTCGGCCAATCACAATGCACAGGGTCAGCTGGCCAATCAGAGCAGACTGTGCTTGTCGGAAGGAGGGACTTTGTAGAAAACGAAGCGTTTGAGAGAGGCGGGGCATAGAGGACCTACAATAATGTACAGTATTTGAAAAATAATGTGTTTTTTGAACACATTAAATTCTGTTACACCAAATACACAAAATAATGATCTTTAAAAAAGCATCATATGACCCCTTTACGATGTTTTTAACTTCAAACCATTGCTTCCAGCTAAAATGTGAGTTCTCTCGCTGTAAATTTGCTTTCTCCAGTGAAAAGGTAATCTCATCTAGGGCTGGGTATCATTCAAAAATTTTCAATACCGAATACCGGTTCCTGAACGATACTTTTTTCACTAACAATTTGATAAAATCTGTTTTAATAAGATTACTTTACCTTAAAAAAAAAAATTGGTTTTATTTTTTCAGCTTATTGACGTTTTTACAGACTCAAAGACTCATCTCCTGAGCCACTGCACAAAGGAACAAAAAAGCACAAAGGAGCAAAATGTAACCAACACAATATATCAGTGCAAACAGTTTTAATAACGTTCAAATAGTTTTCAGATTCCACATCTTTTAGGTTACGTTTATACTAGTGCGTTTTTGTTTTAAAACATATAATTTAGACAATCATCATTTTTTATTTATTTTCCACTGATTTACTGATGAGCATTAGCCGCTTCCAGCGCTGTCTGCCTGTGTTTTTCTCTTCTGTGATCGCTGTTCTGACTCAGAGGAAGCTTATTCGCTGCTCATATGTCAATCATATTATGCGTTCATATTAGGATTCGGCGATGTCTACCAAATTGGCATCGGACGATGTCTACAGTGAAACATAGTGATGGACGATGACATCGGGGGCGGGGTTAGGAGGTGTGCCCGAAGCGTGAATCTGTTTGCAGAAAGGCATGGAAAACAAATAATGCGTTCTACGGAGCCACTAAAGGGACATGGTTAGCCGCTTGCTAGCGGTAGACAGTTACATTACAGTAGGGCTGTGCGATTAATCGAAATCGCGATGTGAGACGTTGCGATTTCCTAATAGCAAAGCCTGCGATGTGGAACTTGAGTTGCAGTCTTACTAACCAATAGAGTGAGCGCACCTCCGTTCTCCCCAATCAGCACTGCTCTAGCCAACTGCGTAAACACCCACCATTAACAAAATGTAAAAAACGGAACGCGGGACGGGAGAGAGACAGAGTGGGATTATGTCGTCTACTGGGTCAGATCGATAGTTAGGCAAATTAAAACTAAAGAAAACCGTATGCAACTTAAGCTTCGAAATGACAGACAACGAACAAAAAAGGTCATTTGCAAGAGCTGCGTCACAGCGCATATCAATAGCTCCCTTATCGATTCTGTTTTCAGTACTGGAGAATAACAGATACATTCTTAGATGTTTTTGTTAGTACGTGAACGTTATCTTACACATTTTATCTCCCCAACAGATTAATTTGAAATAAGTTTATAATGCATGTTGGCTATTCCCAATTCAGAAGAGCGCACACACAGCCTGTGTCTGTGAATGCTTCTCATACTCGCTCCTGTCTGCCCCACACGGCGCGAATCCCGTGTCACGGACGAGCCGTTCATGCTTGCCGCACTCACGCAGCCTGTCTCGTAATGCTCGTTTATACTCGCACCCGGCTCCGCACCGCAAGTCTTCACGAGCGCATCTGGCAGTATGGATGAGGCTTGACGCACACGCGCAACCTGTGTCGACTCGCGCCTGGCTCCGCGTTTAAAATTTATGTAAATTCAGTCTAACTGCTTGCTAATATCACTTGGATGAAATCGCAAATCAAATCGCAATCGCAATATCGGTCAAAAAAATCGCAATTTGATATTTTCCCCCAAATCGCACAGCCCTACATTACAGTACATGAAAGTTCACTTACCACATACACCGAGTAAGGAGAGATGACTGATAGGACAATGGCGAATTATTTGCAGATACTGAGCACCACTGACAAATATCTAATCTTGTAAAATGGCCCAACCCTAGTTCATATCCTGCCCTGTCTCTGATTACGAACATCCATTTCACTTCTGCGTTCAGTTCTGTACATAAGAAACCCAGGAAAACATTTCCACGGATGAAACATGAAGCTAATAAGCACGCGATTATGACCGTATATGATTTGTATGTCATTTTCATGAGAAAACAAATGTCCTAAACACATGTCTGTGAATTCTGTTGTGAGAGGACAACAGGGGAAAACTTTTTCACTGGAGGAAGTGTTATGGATTATGGACTCGTTTTTTGGCCAGAAGCAACAATTTAAAGTTGCCTTTAAAGATGCCTTATGATGGATTTGTTTCTTACAAACTTATAGCTTTTCACTTCAAAAGACGTTAATTGATGGACTGAAGTTTTTGTATATTATTGTGATGTTTTTATCAACTGTTTGAACTCTCATTCTGACTGCACCTATTCACTGCAGAGGATCTATTGGTGAGCAAGTAATGTAATGCTAAATTTCTCCAAATCTTTTCTGATGAACAAACCAACTCATCTACTGTAAATCCTGTGTGGCTTGAGGGTAAGTATGTTTTCACCAAATTTTTATTTTTGAGTTAACTATTCTTTTAATGACAAATGGTGAATAAGTTAAATTAACAGATGTATTCTTTGGACTTTATGGGATTGCAGAATGGTGTAGGACATGTTTTCGATGAGTGAATCATGTCCTTAGATAATGGAGGGTTTTTTTTCCAAGTGAGGGCTGATGTTTGGTCATGGTAGAAATGCATTTTGGTGTTGAGAGGCTGAATTACTGAAGAGGGGTCTGGTGGAATGATCAGAAGAGGAATGGAGGGGAATGGTGCCATTAGTAACATCAAAGTGTCTGCTGGCGAGAAAGGGGGAGAGAGATTACATGAAAGTAAGGTGCAGACTCACTCATAAACACCTAAACAGCCCTGAAAAGCACTTCATCATCTAGATCAGTTCGCGGCGGCTGCAGTATGATGCCTGTTGTTGTTATCGAGGTAGCGGCTGAACATATTTATTTATCTATTCACCGGTAACGAGTGTAGAATAGCAAACCGCTTCTTCCCTCCACTGGGGATGAATCTCTGTGATTAAACTGATCAGTGCCATCACTCAATGTAGCGAAGAGACACTTTAGGGCAGCAGCAAACCAAATTAGACAGATGATGGTGTCGTTTGGTATCACACACCACGCATTTGCTCCCTGCATTGGCTCCGTGCACTGTAGTCGCTAGCTACACTCTGATCTACTGCTTGTGTTTAATTAATTTTACATCAGTGTCATTGCTGATTATCTCAGCGTGTTGCTCTCCTTCTCACTGAGATAATGTTTAATGGGTGGTGTCAGTGAAAAATATTCTCGAAGATAACTGCTGCTAATTCACCCGCCTCTCGAAAGAAAGGGGGCAAGTCCCCTGAAAATAAACCACCCACCTTTTCAGCCAACGCTGACATCTCAATCGCCCATCTTCTCCCCGTTGCGCCCACAGGCCGAGGGAGAGAAAACAGCTTTCTGATAAATTAATCCAATTAGGAAATCATTATCTGTGTGATGCGGGGGCCCACCACCTCGATATAAATTTACAATGCAAGTTACACTGTCTCCCTGGACACTCTGTTCGTTAGGCATGGTGAATGTGAAGCTGACAGTCTTCTAATGAAAGTCTGCTTACAATAAGGAAGCTATAACTGATCATAAACAAAGTTAACAGGGCTATGGTGGGTATTTGATAAAGATCTGAAACTTTTGAACTTCTGTTCAGTTCAGGCTGGTCTTTTGCCTCAAAATATCATACATTAGGCGGTATGTACAAGACCGCTCTACCTTATAGATTTGTTGCCTTGTTGCGAAGTTTTAACTTCAACAATCCATAGAACTATCAGCACAAATTACATTCTGCACGTTTGACTAGTTTGTGCAGTGCCGCTCTATTATAGTCTTCACTAGGGATGCACCGATATGGAAATTTTGGCCGATACTGATAACTGATAACTTTAAAAACAAAAGGCAAGCACATACAGTGAACAACTGATTTTATTTTAAAACCTTAACTTCAGAAAAGTTTGAACTGATCTCTGAACTTTATTAATTAACTATTCATTTCTATGGCCAACTTTCTTTTATATAAATAAAATCTATTGCCTTGACAAAAAAATAATGCATAAATAAAGCAACCAAGTCACTGAACAACATTACTTACATAATAAAAATACCAATCAAATAATAAAAATTTGCAATAGATAAATAAAATGTTTATTTTTATACAGCATGACTTTGTGTGAATTTAACAGAAAGGCCAACTAGAAATGTTACAGGATTCTCTGGCTACTTCATCTGTGAATGTAAGAGTAGGATGTTTTTTTTAATGAAGAGAAGCATTTCAGCTTTCTCACACATAAGTCTGTTTCTCTTTTCATCAATCACATTTGATGCCGCTGAGAAGAGACTTTCGCTGTCAACGCTGGTACAGGGAGCTACCACACCGCTGACATCTTATCTTCTCTCTAGCAGCAGCTCTTGTAACGCGCGCGTCTGCTTTGTGCGATGTCACAGAAGCGACGATCAAAACCCTAGTGGCCAGCAGCAAGCACGTGAAGTGGTTCAACCAGCGGAAATAATACATAATTTATCGGCTTAAAGATATCGACCTAATTTTGTAATTTGACCTAATATAAAAAAAATAGCATTTATTGGCCGATAACGATATGGCCGACGATATATCATGCATCCCTAGTCTACACAACTGGAGAACTATAATGGTGATGGAAAAACTTTTGGGGATGTAGGCTAGTAGTTAATAATAATGATAATTAGAGCCCGACCGATATATCGTTTTGGCGATTTTATCGGCTGATATGAGCCTGTCGCAGATATATCGGTATCGGCGAATATGCCACTGATATGATTTTTTTTTTTACAGAACATAAAACGCAGATAAAATGGTGTAATTACGTAGTTTGTCCAGCAGAGCGCGCTCCATTGTTTGCTACTGGCGACCTTGATGAAACTCTTTATAGCTTAAGTGTATGGAATACAATTGAAACTTTGAACGGCCATATCTCCGTAACGGCGCGGAGGATCTGCACCAAATTCAGGGGATCCCTTCAGCTCGAGGAACCCTCTTGAACGCCGAATCGAGTGTACGTCTCGAGGCCCCCTTTTGAATGAGACCACCCCTTTGTCGATAGCCCCGACACACGGGGCTATCGGTACCGATAGGTACCGACACACGGAGGGTGGTGTTTGAAAGGGCTCCTCGAGCTGAAGGGATCCCCCGAGTTTGGTGGAGATCCACCGCCGCTTTCGCGAGATAGTGACACCAGCCAACAATTTTACTTCAGTAATGATGTCTCTAGTTCAGGCAGCAGCATTCAAGCGTTGTCTTATTCGACCGTAAGTGTCCTGCAAAGTGGAATTCACATGATATTCCGCCATGATTCCAGTTCAAAGGGAACGTACACGTTACATTCAAAGGGCATTAAAGTGCGCGAGACGTGAATTTTATAGTATTTATTTACTGAGATATATAAACTGATGTCAGACTCATTTTGGATAATAAAGTTTATTGTTAAATTGTTAAATGCATTACGTATCTTTGTCACGTCATTATAAGTGTTTGATCACCACGTCTGCTTGATATAAAATAAATGGTGCTTTAAAAAGTCCTTGAATCTGGTGTTCATGAAAGAGTGGGAACCCTGTATAACTGTCACACTTCTCTAGTAAGTTTCGTATGCGTGTGAAGACAGTAGCGCAAATCTGTGAATGAATGTTCCGAAGTGAAATAAATTTCAACAGAATAAACTTCAGCTTTACTGTTCAGTGCACTGATGTCAGACTCATTTTGGATAATAAAGTTTATTGTTAAATTGTTAAATGCCCTGCCTCCGTTACATATCTTTGTCACGTCATTATAAGTGTTTGATAAACACATTTTTTGCAATGATCACTCAAATGTGGTGATGTGTATATATATTCTGTTTATGTATATACTGTATTCTATATATAGTACCAGTCAAAAGTTTGGACACACAAATGGGAAAGTGTCCAAACTTTTGACTGGTACTGTACAATAATATACACAAAGAATATCGGGCGATATATCGATATCTGCCTTTTTTACTAATACAATTTTTTTTTTGTGAAAAAATGTTTACTTTTTCCCTAATATCGGTATCGGCCCCCAAAAAACCCATATCGGTTGGGCTCTAATGATAATACGATGTTATTAATCATAATAATAATGTATTAATAATACTGTATAATTATATTATGAAAAAAATGAGTAATGCAATATGAGGAGGGAATGTGTATTTTTGCCAGTTAACACATATTTTGTGCTTTGTGCTTTTGTTTTATTTATAATTCAGTGATTTAAGCTTTTTTTTGTGTGAAACATTTATTTTTGTAATGTAATATTTATATATTTTTTTAAATTTTTACATTTTTTTTTTAATACATTTTTAGCAAAATGCAAAAAATACAAAAACATTAATATTGTGAAATGTTATTTTAAAGTAATTGTTTTCTGTTTTAATATATTTTAAAATGTTGAATTTCAGCAGTCTTTAATGCAGTCTTTTGTGTCACATGATCCTTCAGAAATCTTAATAATATGCTGATTTAGTTCTCATGGAAACATTTATTATTATTATTATTATTATTATCATCATCATCACAGTTGTGCTGCTTAATGTTTTTGTGGAAACTGTGATACCTTTTTCAAGATTTCAGGATCAGCATTTTTTGATGAATAGAAAGAACAAAAGAACAGCATTTATTTGAAATGTAACATTGTAAATTACTTACCCCAGAGTTTTGAATGGTAGGGTATGTTTACCTAAATGGAGAAAAAAATCAACAGACTAATCATTATCACTGAGCCAATCTCACTCATACTCTCACAAATGTTTCATCTTTCTGTTAGCTGGACAGATTTTCCAGTATCCGGATCCCTGGCAGTAAAAAGGAACGGCCACCCCTCTCCCACATGTCAAAGCATTCCTCTTCTGGTGACTGGTCCACTTCCTCTGAATTTGAGGAGCTTTCTTCAAAGATTACATCAGAGAAGGAAATCCTTGCCCTCTTTGAGAAAATGATGGTAAGATATGTAATTGTAGACAAAAAAGTACTTATATTGTGTTGTGAAACATAAATTGAAATAAACATTCTCTGAGAGTGAGGGATTTGTTGATCTGCATTCATGCTATTGTACACATGTCTACTTACTGTGGACATGTATAAAACCAGCTAATTATTATTCCTACTCAATGACCTTTATCAACCTTTCAACCACTATAATCACTAGAGGTTTATTTCAAATTATGTTTTGAGGAAACGCAACCTTTTCATAATGAAATGGATTGTTATGGGTCACTGACCTCAATCAGCTTGTATTCATAGTAGGACGAGGCCCTCATGCCTATAAATACACATACTCAAACACTTACTCACTTTCACGTATTGGACACACATCATACGGTCACTGACAAATGTTTGCAAGCAGCTTAGTTTGTTGTGGTAAATAAAAGAAAATACACAAAAATAAAATAATCCCTACAATATAGTTTTGATTTGGACTTGCAAATTATCATATCTAATAAGCATTTATAACAAAAATAATTTTGTAGAAAACCTGTTCACTGGAAATGAATTTTAATGTATTTTAATTTAAATGTAAAAAGTTTTACTTTACAAACTTTTTTGACCTTCTCAATCCTTCAGGTTTCTGGGAAAAAAAAAAAAAAAATACAAAAAAACTTTTTATACTTTTCAATATCAACACAATTCTGAGCTGTTGAAAGTTAACTGAATTCCATTGCACTTTTGTCACACATTAATCTCAAGCACATCCATTTAATCAAATTTCTCACAAGTATCGTTTTAAAAAATTGCACAGTCCTCCGTTGCGTTAGTGCTGTCGTATGGAGGTCTCTGTCTGTGCCCTTTCTAAGAGTGGAGGTGGTGTTGGCAGTTGAGCAGCATCTCGGAGCGCAGGATTGAGTGACAGGAGCAGCCACTGCTGGGTAGAGAAGGGAGAGTGTGGATAACGTGGGCAGAGACGCAGTCATTAGTCATGGCAAGTACGAGTTTGGATACATGAGAATGCCAGCAGAGGTGACAGGGCCAACGGTGGTAACAGATGCCTTTCCACTCTGCGCCCTATCCTCACCTATCCCAGCATCCTCTTCTCTTTCTCTCTCTGACACACGAGGACTGCATCACGCCTGCGAACCCATCAGTGAAATCCTAAACGGCTCTGCTGATCTATCATCTCAGAAACAGGAAGAAAGGGAGAGCGCTGTGGTGAAAGGGAAATAAGACTGGAGGTGGAGACACTAGGACTATTGCACTCAACATCCGTTGCTGCCGTTATTGTCTTTCTCTCTTATTTCTCTCTTTCTTTTGCTTCCTCTCTTATCGATTTTATTGTTCTGTTTGCCTTGAGATTTCCATGCCCTTTCTATCTGTTGATGGTAAACCGTAAACTGTCCACGGATGCACCCTAGTTCTTTTCTCTGTCTCTGTCTCTGTCTTTGTCAGAGATAGTGAGTTTGAGAAGTGCAGCGCGTTAGTTTGTTTTGGCACAGGACGTGTTGCTTCAGTAATCTGGGAAGTAAAATTGCCAAATATATCTGCCAATGTCTGTCTTAGCAGTACACAGGTTCAGATTTATGAACATGCTCATTTCTGTTTCACTGTTAATTTCTAATCTTTTCAGAAATTGGCCCATTAGATTTTCTAATACATAATTCATGACTTCATCAGTCAGGCTTGTATTAAGTACTAATTTTCAAAAGATCTCCCAAAACTGCATACAAAAAATGTGTCCACATAGACAACAGATGTTTATAATAGCCAATCATATAACAATTTAGCAAAAATGGCCCTTTATTCATTATCGATTAAAATTTTTAAAGTGTTTCATCAAAAACACGTAATGACTCCCGCCGCAAACTAGGGGATATTTTTAGATTCAGCTTTAACCCTCAGAGACCCAGCATAGCAGCAGAATTGCAACGTTTGTTTAAAACAAATTAAAAAAATACCTAAACTTCGCTAAATATATGTAAAAACTACACAACAGTAGCTGACACTCTGAAATATATTACAATAATTTTGGTGGTAAAAAATTGCGTGTTAACTGCCACAGCTACCTAGTCACACAAAAAGGGGGTCCTTTTGGAACACCTTTGAGACATATTAATTGATTAAAGCGTTAAAAATACTAGACGGGGTGTGTAGTGATGGGAAAAGGCTTACATGCCCTGAAATTTTGAATGTGAATACATTTGAGACCATTTTTAAGTGTAGTAAAAATGCAATGATGAGCATTAGGTGGTCAAATTTTGCAACCCTAAAAGCCCAGCGGTTTTTTTTTCTCTCCAAATTAAACCCTGATACAACTTGGTTTTTATTACTAATGGCTTTCTAAAGACATGTTAAAGAATAAGAAAAATACATGATGAAAGTCAGTACTTCGGTCTGTAAGGGTTAAAGATGCATAAAAGATGCTTTTATTTTTTCCTTTGGGATATTTAACATGAATTATCACTCTGTTTTCATCTCCTTTTCTTTTTCTTAATGTCATAAGATGTGGGGAAGACATATCTGCCTGATGGATTCACAAGCAGAGGTTGACTTCCTACGGTTTCATTTATTTGCAGTTCCAAAAAGAACAGGTGTTAGGCATAATTTGATTCATGTGAGCATTGAAATGAAAAGATGCAAGAGCTCTTTGCTCTTCTCTGCTAAGTTTACAACCAGCATCTTCAGTGCTATTTTCTTTTGAGCAAAAATACAGTATGTTGAATTAGTATTTGATTTGTTAGACCCTTGTGTTTGGGTCAAAGGTCTTGCCATTATGATGGAGATTCTCATAAAGCAGGTCACAATACTGAAGAACTTAAAAGGATTTATCTTGTAACAAGACTTTTTCCTTTTACATGTGTGTTTTCAGGAGGATATGAATCTTAATGAAGAGAAGAAAGCGCCTCTCAGAGAGAAGGACCTGAGCACAAAAAGGGAGATGGTCCTTCAGTACATCATCACAGCTGCAAAAACTGTAAGTCAAAGAATGATTGCATCCACACAGACTAACATGAGCAAACCTGAAAGGATGAGCAGTAAATACTTTGATTACTTTTCCGTCCCTTTGAGCTTTCTTTTGCTGGATTTCCATTACTAACTCTGATATTGAATAAGAAGATGGACTCTTTTGACCTAAAGGCCATAGGAGGTCACATCTCGGACTGCTCCAATCATTTACTCTGATCCTGTGTCAGATGTGTCAGCGTCTTTATTAAACAGCAAAATAATAAGCGAAGGTGCAGAATCACCACAGAGACACTGTGCATGTGTGTCCATGTTCATTTGTTGTCGTATGCCTGTGCTGACTATGTGCAAGTCTGTTATTGTACTGGTGGGTTTGCCCTGATAAAAATATCTGTAACTTTAGGCCTCTTATGAGGACATTGACAGGCTAAAGACTGTATTTATCAGAGATGATTGCCCTCATTTTAGTTTGTGTCTTTTGTTCTCTTGTCCTGAGGTGAGAGGGAGACGTTGAACCTCCTCATGTATACTTATGAACTCATAATGCTGTGGTAAAGGATTGCAAGATGTGATTTTACATCATCTCCCAATGTGTAGGTTGCCATTTTGCTTTTCTGCAAATAGTCTTGCAAATAGTCTAGTCTGCAAATAGTTATGCTAGAATACAGGAGGCAAAAGAAATGCTGTTGAGAAATAGACAAACATTAATATAAAAGCTATTTTTAAAATCCTCCTCTTTTTAATATGAAATTTGGGTAGCTTAGTCATATAATTAAAAGAAAAAAGTTATTAACATTATTTCAACCAGCTTTTAGGTTAATCAACTTGCTGTGTGATTAATTCATTTGTATTTGCTAGTTTACCATTAGGAACAACAAAAAAATAGCATCAGGTCCTGTCAAAAAACTACAGATGGGAGTCTTTGCCCCAAGCAGTCTTACTTATACATGCTGGTTGGAGCTGCATTAGATTGATTTCTGAGATCCATGCTCAGGGCTTAAAGTTTTCCGTCGCTACGACGGATTTCCGTCGTTTGGAAAAAATGAGGAGAAAAGAAACATGTAGCGCATTGTTGTTGTTGTTCTGCCGGCTCAGCTATTCATTTCAATGATATGCAGTCATTCCACCGAAACAGCTGGCTCTTAACCATACAATCACATCTGATTGGTCAGAAGTGCGCTTGTGTGTAGGCCTGTCACGATAACAAATTTTTGTTGTGCAATATATTGTCCCAGAAATAATTGCTATAAGCGATATTATTGTCATTTTAAAGACCATTTTATGCCACGAAGTGGTTGCCAGGTTTTCACAACAAAACCCGCCCAATCGCGTTTCGAGGGGGTCCCCGTTAAAAATCGCGTTGCGGGGATAAAATACGCATGTTTTGGCAGGGTTTCCCTGGTAAAATTCGCATTCCAGGGGCTAAATATCATGTTAATGGGGTCGTTTTTCAACCCGCGGACATGAAAAACAACCCACGGCAACAGTGTTACAGCAGCCCAATTCCACGGGAAAACCGCGGACTTGGCAACACTGGAAGAGGATAGCTTTCGGATAGCGCATCAAGAACCGGGTTGACTGGGTACTCTGTACCACCGGTACTTAAAAAAACCTGGTACCGTAACGTTTTCATTTTTTTAGTACCGACTTGGTACCGAAATACCGGGTCTTTTGACAACACTACTGCAGATGAAACTTTTTTTTTTGTAGAAGCATTTTTTTAATTTGAACTAGCACCTCATCCTGACTACACCATGTTATGTTCGATAAGCTGCAAAAGACACAGGCACAAGTGGAATGTAAAAAACATGGTGACATTCATTTTTAAGTAAATATAATGGGCGATATATTGCGTCACCAAAAATAATTGAGGTCATGTACATATATTGCGCGATAAGTCGATATATTGATTATTGCGACAGGCCTACTTGTGTGGTGGCGGAAGAGGGGCGCATTAATTAGCCTTTAGAGTTTACGTATTAAGCTAGCATGTCAGTTATGGACATGCTGCTTTTGGAGGAAGGTTTGGAATGGATGTCACTCATCGGCAAGTCCGTTAAAAATAAATGGAGATGGACTTGGCTTGAAGAAACTGGGGAGGATGGCTGCTCGCTCTGATCCTGGTGTAATAAAATGAAACTGCCAGGTCCGTGTATGTGTGTAGTTTGCCATAAAAAAATGTAAGTATGGCAGTAAAGGCAAAAAAGTGCTTCTGCGGCATCAATCAGACGACGCACACAAAGCTGCCGTTCGTTCTCTTAAGCATACCTCCTCCCTGCCTGGTGCATCTACCACAATCGAGGTACGGGCATCTATGGCTGACCGTGTATGTGACCACAAAGTGAATATATGTGCGTTTTTAGCTGGACAAGACCTGCCGCTCACTCTGTCGCAGCCACTAGTGGAGCTAATCAAGTCGGTTGCTAACGATCGGAGCGCACTTTCCAAATTATCAATATCTAATGCACTCACCTCTTCTGCACACATGGCATTGCTGCGCAGTTTAAAACAGAACTGTCTGTCAAGCTGCAAGGAAAGACTTTCTCATTAAATGTAGACGAATCAACAAATTCAAACATGTACAGGATCCTTAATGCTCTCATAAGCAGCAAAAGCATTCTCTGTTGGCTTTTATTATTTGAGAAATGAAAATTTGTGTTGGAAAGTTATGCAAATGGTTAATTATTTGTATGACTACACCACAAAGAGTCAAGTCTTGTAAAAGCATTAGATTGAAAACATGAAAATTTCATTAAAGTGTGTAAATAATAGAAATGCAGTTCAAAATTGCCTTTCTTTAAATGCAAATGTTCTTTGAGTATTTAATTTGTGTAGGTAAAGCATGTACTCACTATTGCAAGAAGGAAAAAAACTGCTCTTAAACTGGGTATGTGACAGGTATGGCTGTGGAATGGAGTTTGGCCGAGGAAAAATGTTCAGTCAAAAGATTTTTTTTTGCTTTAACCCCTGTATACTGCTTAGAGGATTCTTTGTCTGTTTTTAAGCCCCGATGTGTTGGCGAGACAGACTGACAGGCGTACACGTCTTAGAATTGCATGTGTTCAACAAATCCTCCAGTTCTTCTATTGCACGACATGGACAAGTGGAAACTCTATGCAGGATTCAGGCAAGGTGGACAAAAAATGAATTTTTCTACCGAAATTAATTCCCCAATCTAATCCTCCTGTCGTTTAGCTTTGCGTTCATTTACAGGGCCTGCGAACGATGGAAGAGAAACAAGAACAAGGGAGTTTAATTATAATGCCATTCCTCTCTTTCCACTGAGAATTTTATTATTTTGGAGTGTTTGGAGATTTCAGGATGATTCAATTTGGATTGTAATTGCTATCTGGAGTGGCTGGTCATGAGTTGTGGTTTTTCTCCAGTCAGCTTTAGTCTCTTTCTGCATTTGGACTGCTGAAACAACTCATAGACCTTGGACAATCATGATAAAACTCCCAATGTATTGGAATCTAGTGAATTTTCTCAGAAAAATGACCTCAAAATAGATGACCCAACATTTTTCTTCCACCAAATAAATAAAAATCATTCTCCTCCATGTTGATTTGAACTATGCTAGTGGACTAAAACCTTTTGAAGACAATAAAGGTTTTCAAAAATGAATACTATTAAACATTAATGGGAAATGCTTCTTAGCCTGCATTCCCAGACATATAATAAATTCATCTACATCTACTCTTAATCTACAAGGTTGAAAAATCAAATCAGTTCATCAAATAATAGTTTGTGTTTTTTCTCTTTAATTTGTTGTGTGTGACATTTAACTTGTGACTTGTTGAATTTTAGTTGAGGCTTATTATTGTAATCAGCCTTTTCCTGGGCTTCCGGTTTAGACTGCCTGTTCTTTCAAGTTCGTCCAACTACTCAACTTACTCAAAATATGTAGTATTGCACATCCTTTCTTGTTAGGTTATACATAAAGTTGATTGCAAACCCCGTTTTTAAAGATTTAATCTGTTGGACAGAACAGACGGTGATGTATTGGTGTTTTTAAAATTTCCCTTTTCATACTCCAATAAGCTTCTCACGCTACTTTGACTATTTTGATGGATGAGCATTACTTTAAATGTGGAAAACTTCCTGGAGTTTCTCTCTCTCTCTCTCTCTCTCTCTCTCTCTCTCTCCTGCACTCGCCTGCTCCTGTACTCCTTCATCTCTCACTCTCTCCATCTCTTGTCTTTTGACATCCAGGCCCGGTTGTTTACCCCCTGTCTGTGTTCTTGATGAATAATTGCCTCTCAGTGAAGCCTTTCCTGTTGGCTCTGCTCCTTTGTCTTGCCTGGTAATTGAAACTATAGATTCTGGCATAGGCTTCTCTCCTTCCCTCTTTTAATAACATTCACCTTTTAAAACATTCACCTTGCCATTGCCAGCAGAGTCTGAGTCTGGAATGGATGGTCATAGTCAAAGCTTTTGGTCTTTTGGCAATTTATGTGTCATCATTAGGTCTTGTTTAGTACTTAAGTGATATTAAAAGAGCTGGAAACAACAAATCATCATTCATGAACAAAGACATTCGAATACAAGTGGCATCAGTGTAATGGCCAGAATTATATGGCATTCAGAACTGAATTGAGAATGCCTTTTAAATTCTTTCTTAATTCCTGATTTTGTGGTAGCAAACAGGTTGCTGAATTGAAATTTAATATAAGGAAGTACAATGAATTCAGATTCATCATAGATTGATAGATGGATAGATACAGTAGTTGGAAAGATGGATGGATAGAACTGTGGATAGATCGACAGACAAATGGATGGACGATAGATGGGATGGGTGGATAGAAGATAGATGGATAGATGATAGATGAATGATGGATAGACAGATGATGGGATGGATGGATAGAATGATAGACAGAGAAAGACGAATAGACAGACGGATAAACAGAGAGATGGATAGATGATATATGGCCTGATGGATGGATGGAATGATAGAAAGATGAATAGACAGACAGATAGATAGATGGATGGATGGATGGATGAATAGATATAAAATGTTAAACTTTATTGTCAGATAAAGTCTGAAATTTTTCTTACGTAACAGTATGTTTCTTGCACACTAAATCTTTGCTAACACAACACAGTTCACAATAGACATAGACACAGTAAATACAATAGAATAATAAAAAAAAAGACATAATTCCCGGGTTTTAATTTTACGTGTACCTTATTCAGTTCTAGGACAGACTGATGTACAAAAGAGTGTTTTAATTTCACTCGATTAAATCTTAGGACTAGGCCTGGGCGATAAAACGGTATCTATATTTATCGATAGAAATATAGAAGCTCAATGCGTAGAAGATCTTGATTAGGTTAAAACCGAAACCAAGCCATTCACACAGAACGAATATTCAGTGCATTTTCTAGATGGAAAATATGACTGCTGCACTTGCGTCTCACACAAGAGATGTATAGAAAGCCATGCAAAGTTAAAACAGTTTAAACTTTTAGAAAACACGTCACGAATTTGTGGAGGTTTACTTCTTTTCACTGCGTCTCATAGGTTTTTAAAGGGAATCTGTGTGATGGGTGATTCGGCTCTTTGTATTAAGCAATGAATAAATACGTGATGCTGTTTTATTCATAATTGTTTATGCAATTTACGAAATTATATTTGATTTATACTTGATGTAACTTAATATATGAGTTAATTTAGACGTAATGCAATGCGTTTTTTTATAGACAATTATTTCCTTGCGTTGACAATTTAATGTGCTGCATTATTTTGCTCATTGCGTCCTCCTGTGACCTCAGGAAACAAGCCAAAAGTTTAACCTATTTCATCTGCATATGAAACATTAGAAACAAGATATTTGTTTAATTTTTATTTTGTGTTTGACTGTTAAAACAAAAAAATATTTGTTGTTTGTCTCAATAAATTGAGTTAATTTAAAAATACAGTGGTTAAATGTAAAAAAAAAATTCTATTGCTCTTTCGAGACGCGCAGTTGCTGCGTTATTCATTCAAAATATTAGAGAAATATAGTAGCTCAATGCGTAGAAGATCTTGATTAGGTTAAAACCGAAACCAAGCCATTCACACAGAACGAATATTCAGTGCATTTTCTAGATGGAAAATATGACTGCTGCACTTGCGTCTCACACAAGAGATGTATAGAAAGCCATGCAAAGTTAAAACAGTTTAAACTTTTAGAAAACACGTCACGAATTTGTGGAGGTTTACTTCTTTTCACTGCGTCTCATAGGTTTTTAAAGGGAATCTGTGTGATGGGTGATTCGGCTCTTTGTATTAAGCAATGAATAAATACGTGATGCTGTTTTATTCATAATTGTTTATGCAATTTACGAAATTATATTTGATTTATACTTGATGTAACTTAATATATGAGTTAATTTAGACGTAATGCAATGCGTTTTTTTATAGACAATTATTTCCTTGCGTTGACAATTTAATGTGCTGCATTATTTTGCTCATTGCGTCCTCCTGTGACCTCAGGAAACAAGCCAAAAGTTTAACCTATTTCATCTGCATATGAAACATTAGAAACAAGATATTTGTTTAATTTTTATTTTGTGTTTGACTGTTAAAACAAACAAAAAAAATGTGTTGTTTGACTCAATAAATTGAGTTAATTTAAAAATACAGTGGTTAAATGTAAACATTTTTTTTCTGTTGCTCTTTGTTTTAAAAAAGGTTATAAAAAATTTTAAATAATTATCGATACCGAACGATATGAAACATTATATCGTTGATATATTTTTTTTGCTATATCGCCCAGCCCTACTTTGGGAACTTGTATTGACGATTAGATGGTAGAAGCACAAATTCATTATGCAACACATGACTATTAGAAAACCCTATTCTTGGCCAGCCTTAAGAGGTTCTTACGTTAAGAAAGTTCATATAACTTTTCAAGAGGGTGTCCTATCTTTGAAAAGATTTTAATTTGGTTCCTCAACTTTGTTTTTAGCCTATAGACAAACCCGTGTACCGAACAGAATTGCAATACTGTAAGACACTCATAATTACTGACATATAGAATAATACAAGTATCTGTTTTGTTGCTCCAAATGACCTGAGGTAATGAAGAAAATAAATTCTCTGGTTTGTGTTTTTACACAAACTGTCAATATGGTCTTTCCATGATACCTTATTGTCTCTTGTTACACCTAAATACTTATACTTTTCTACCTGTCTAATGTTTTCATTATGTATAACTCCGGGCTGTGTATATACATCAGATGTTGACCTAAATACAATTTCCTCAGTGGAGTGGTGTGACAACAATGCTCTTGTGATTAATATAAAAAAAAAAACTAATTTATTCACCCCTTGCTGGTGCATTCCAGGGCTTTCTAAGTCACTTAACACAGATATTAACAGTGTCATCAGCGTACTTTAAGATATATTGATTAGACCTATCTGTACGACAGTCATCTGTGTACACAGTAAAAAGCATAGCAGAACTAACGCAGCCCTGGGGTGCTCCAACATTTGTTTTAACTGCAGATGACAGGATTGTATTCAGTTTAACAATTTGAATTCTATTTGTGAGAAAATAAACATACCACTGAATCGGGTAGGGATTTACACCCAACCTAACGAGTTTAGACACCAAATTATCAGCTTGAATTTTATTTAATGAAGAGGAAAAGTCTAAAAAAGGTGTTTTTACATAGGTATTAGGTTTGTCTAAATGTTTAAAAACAATATGCACCAAAGCTGCCACAGCATCCTCTGTACTGCAACCTTGCCTATAGGCAAATTGACATGGATTGAGTTTGTGCTTGATAGTGCTCACCAGATGTTTTAGTAAAATTCTTTCCAAACATTTCATAATTACTGAAGTAAGAGCTATAGGTCTATAGTCTTTGCATTCTTTTGGACGTGAAATTTTAGGCATTGGTTTTATATATGAGGTTTTCCATAACCTAGGGGCAGGGTGCGTATCAATAGATTCCTGAAAAATTGGTTGCGATTCCGAATACCAGCTCTCCTTTCTCGTTTCTTGCATTTCAATCTAATCATTTCATGTTAAGGCTGGGCGATATG